AAGATCAGGATACATGACAGTCTATTTATTGCAGCAAACCTAAATATTGTTCAAGAGGAATTATCCAAAATAAGGGAAGACTATAATAATAGTTCAGAAATCGAGAAACTCTCTGACTATTGTAAAACAACAAAGGTCAGTATTAACATGCATGCATGATATGCTTTTACTTCAGAAATAACGTAATTAGAGTACTATATAGATTATTGAAGCACACTAACAACATCATTAATAATATGATATAATCTATTGATTGATTTGTTGTATCACTTTAGTGCTAGTTCACTTTGTTCATATTTCACCCTTCCCCAGGCATTGAAAAGTTTTTGACACGGCCTTTCAAGGATAAAAATTCTATGCTGTATACATAGTGAAGTGATTATAATACTGTTTTCCAAGCACCTGAAGAGGGTCTTTAATTAATTACCATTAAAGGTCCGTCTGTTACTCTAAAAAAGAAAGTGTAATGGATTAAATAAGAAATTAGGATTAAAGGGAATTTTTGTTTCTTAACTATTTGTTTGGTATTCAAAATTTTTATGTGATGTAATTTTTCCTTTCAATATTTGAACATGGTACATTAAATACTATATTGTTAAAAAAGTTGACTTTAATTATTAATTAACTTAAAAATGGTAGAAAAGCCCCCCAAAGTTATAGAAAGAACTCATAAATTGCACAAGTATCCTATAAAAAAATAATATTAATAGGTTTCCTAATTACATATAAATAACAGAATATAAAATATTATTTCTTACCTACATAAAACACTAAAATATGGTTTTGACCAACCATTATTTTAGGAACTTAATTGGTATTAAATTTCTTATGAGATACTTATTGATATTTTATGTGTTTTTTTTTATAATTCTTTTGCCAACTAACAGTCAAAGTTAATTTTTGAATAATTGATGCTCAATGCACCATTTTCAAATACAAAGTTTATGTGATGTAATTTTTCCTTCAATATTTGAACATGGTGTTTTGAATATTATATTGTTAAAAAGTTTAACTTTAATTATTAATTAACTTAAAAATTGTACAAAAGACCCCCAAAGTTATGGAAAGAACTCATAAATTGCACAAGTATCCTATAAAAAAATTGATATTAATAGGTTTCTAAATACATATAAATACAGAATATAAATATTATTTCTTACCTACATAAAATACCAAAATATGGTTTTGACCAACCATTATTTTAGGAACTTAATGGTATTAAATTCTTATGAGGTACCTATTTGCAATTTTAGTGTTTTTTTTTGTAATTTTTCTATCAACTAACAGTCAAAGTTAGTTTTTTAAATAATATGGTGCTCAATGCGTCATTTTCAAATGTTAAAAGATAAAATGTATTATATAAAGTTTAGGATACCACAATGACTCTAGTTAATGGATTTCAATTGGGAAACTGATAAAAATTTGTTGGAATTAATCAAGCCCATATACTAGCTAATAGTATACAAGAAGTTTAAGCTTGCAAGTGTAAATGTAAAACTTTCTTCAATTTATTTTCCTTAAATAAAATTACTCATGGAAATTCTTCTTGGCAATGATAATTCTCAGCTGAATTCCACATTCATGTGGTTGCAAGCCCATTCATAAAGGTTGCTTCTGATGCTGCCATAAGTTTAGGGGCAACGTGGTTTGATCGTTGATAGGTTTGTTTATAACTCCCTAATTTACTGCCTCAATCTACAGATTGTTAATTTAATTTATAGAACCTAAGATAAGCCTTGTCTTCTCTAGATAAATCTTTGCATGTTATGAAAAGTATACAAAATAGACAACACAAAAATAACACTTCCTCTTCTTGTCCTTTTTTTTTTCTATAAAAAAGAAATACAAAACAAAACAAAAAAACTAAAACAGAACCAACAACACAGAGAGCATACTTTACGAGTTTTCTCTTAACCCCATTAGTACGTGTTTAAATATTCTCAAATCTTAATAAGCCTATAAAGTCATCTTGAATAATAAAAATAAATAAATTAGGATGTTACAAGTAGTTTATCTTTATAATTTCTATCTTTTCATTTATTTTTTTCATCCTGTTTAACCAAAGAAGCAGACCGAGATAGCATGATTAAACAATATTATTATTGCAATAACAATGTATTTAAAGTCCTCATCATGACAAAAAAAAAATTGTCAGATAGAAAAAACTACTATGTCCATATGATACCATAGGCAAACCTAATTTAAGACTATATCTTTTATGGAGACTTGGTACAAATTCTATAATCGTTATGATGCAGAAATTTGAAGAAAGATCATAGAAAGAAATTGGATCAGTTACCTTGTGGCATGCTTAGAATAAGAAGCAAACTGTTGAGAAGTTGTGGGATCCAGAAGAAGTAACAGAGAATTCCACAATACTTTATTCCTCAGATCAGCTATAAAATCATTCCTGGAAACCCAGATGAAGAAATTTCACCAAAGAGTAAGCACTGTATTATACGTGGTGTAAAATTTACTATAACACATGAAAAAACTGGCACATGGGAAATGCTTGGTTTTGAAATAATTTCTCTTTGAATTACAACTTAAGTTGCCGTGGCTTTATATATACGACAACTTTTTTGAGAACACCTAATACAAATGGGTTAAAGAGTATTTTATCCCTTAACTATGCTATTCGTTCAAGAATATCTAATATCTTAAACTTACATGTGGTGCAATTTTTTCTTCAACATCTGAAAATGGTGCACTTGGCACGTTATCATTAAAAAAGTTAACTTTAATTATTAGTTGACCGAAAATTACAAAAAAAACAAAAATAAAATAAAAATAAAAATATACAAAAAATGACCCATAAAATTGCAAATAAGACACTATAAAAAATTAATATTGATTAAATCTATAAAATAATAGTTAGTCAAAATCATACTTCGACTTTTTATGTGAGTAAGAAATAATATTTATATCCTATTATTTTATATAACTTAGATGACTTAATTTATATTAATTTTTTATAATTTTTGAGGTCCTTTTTTGTATGTTATCTTAATTTATATTAATTTTCTTATAATGTATTATGTGTAATTTTATGGGTCAATTTCTAGAATTTTGAGGTCCTTTTTGTATTTTATCTGTCAACTAATAGTCAAAGTTAAGTTCTTTAACGAGAGTGTCTAGTTCATCATTTTCAAATGTTGAAGAGAAAAATTATGCCGTATGTAAATTCAAGATACCAAACGTTTGTGAGCGAATAGTAATTAAAGGGTAAAAATGCCCTTTATACTTATACAAATTAAACCTAACAATATGCTTTATCTAAAAACTTACAAGTCATGTTGTTACTTGATATCAATAGCTTTTCTTAACTAGTGTATAGAGTTCTAGTTCAAATCACACGATTCTTTATTATTGAGATCATAAGCAGTGCAACCAAAATATTTTGAGTTTTAACGAACATGTTTTTAAGCACCTCCAGGACATCTTTACTTTAGAGAGAAATGCATTTAAGTGATGACTTTCTTACTCTTCCATAGTATTCCTTCCATTTTAAAGTATAAGATAATTTGAAATAAGATTATACATATCAATAAACAATGACACTTTACTAACTTACTTTTTCAAAATACAACAACAACAACAACAAGCCTTTATCCCACTAGGTGGGGTCGGCTACATGGATTGCAAGACTTACTTTTTCAAAATAAAAATATAAATTTTCAAAGATATTGACACAATTAATTATTACGCTACAATATTATTTCATTTATTTCTTTTTGAAATTGAAAAAAATATCATTAATAAAACCTTAATTTTTCAAAATGTGTTATATTTTGGGACAAAAAAAATTCCTCCAACATTATCTTACAATTTGGGACCAAGAAAGCATCAGTATAAATTGTTTAGCTTCATTTCTTTTAAAAAAATAAATTATATTTCTTGCAGAAACTGAAACGTATTAGTTCGTCTCAAAATTCACCAAACATCACTAGCCACAAAATGTAAGATACAACTATAAATCCAAAACTTTGATAAGATCAGATATCTGTCTATACATATACATATAAGTTTATGTTCTGCATCAAGTATAGTACCTAGCAGATCGAAATACTCAATAACTGCCGTCTCAAGCTACTCCCTTCTTTGTTCTTTTTCTTGTTTCTTTCTCAAAAATGTTTCTCCATTTATATTTTCTTTCTTCCTTTCTTTCATTTTCAAACTTCTCTCTTCACAAGCTTGTTTCATTTTCAATGTCTCTTCTAGTCTTCCATTACACCACAATCACTAAAGAGTAGGGATTCAAGATTCACCTTATAGATTATTAATTTTTACTTTTTGAATTGACTCTCTTTAATCAATTATAATAACAATATATTACTTCTAAATTAAAATATCATAATATATTCTCTTAAATTATTAATTTATTTTTAATTAGCGTTGATTTGCTTCCCCGATCCCTTATATATTAATTTATGTTTATTTCTTTAGATTTAGATTCTCTTTTCATCTCTTAGTTCATCAAGATCAACCCAAAAAATTGATTAAATGGTAGTCAATTATAGAAATCAACATGAAGATCAGCAATATATATATATATATATATAATTTAAAAAAGTTAACATACATTCATAATTAAATAAATTCTCTAAAGTCAAAACAAAAGATTAAAAGCCTAGTTCCCCAATTGAGCTATATCCGCACCCCATCTAAGTAATTTAGAAACACAAAATCAAATTAACAACATAGTTTTAAAATCCTCAATCATAATAAAAGATCATAAGAAATTAAAAGTAGAGAAAAAAATTAAATATCAAATTTAAAACTCACTATTAATTAATCTTTCTCTCTACCTTCCCGATATGTTCTTCCACGAAATTTAAATATGTCATAGAAAATTCTTGAAGATAACTATTATTGCATCAAAAGCAGGGCGCAGATCATCCCTAAGTGAACGAACGTCAAGTGGAACATCAAGTTCAAGCATTCTTCAGTTAATTACAGATAAAGAACAAGTTCAAAACATAGAACAAAAATTAGCGCAGATGTTTTACGTCTCCGACCACTTTGAACGGCAAAGAGGTGAAAATGAAATATCTGAGAAGGAGATAGAACTTAGAAATCCACTTTGTTCAGTATGTAAAAACAAACGACCAGTTGAAGTTGGATTATGGAAGAAAGACTTCAGTTACAAAGAACTGTGCAAAGCTACTCAGGGATTCTCCCAAAAGAACTTTATATCAGAGGGTGGATTTGGAGCTGTGTACAAAGCAGACCTAAGTGGAATGAGAATTGCTGTTAAGAAACTCAATAATGAAAGTGCCCAAGGAGAGAAAGAATTCAAATCTGAAGTCAATTTACTCTGCAAAGCAACACATGACAATGTGGTTCTCCTACTAGGCTCCTGCTCTGAAGGAAAGCATAGGCTTCTTGTTTATGAATATGTTTGTGATGGCTCACTTGACCAACATATATCACGTAAGTAGTGTAATGCATCATTATGGAGATGATCAATAAATATATATATGTACATTCTCATGCTATATGCATATTGTTAATTAATAACAGCAAATTCTCTTATAATAATTTGTTGTAGGACACTCTCGATCTCCGCTTAATTGGGAAGAAAGGATCAAAGTTGCTATTGGAGTTGCGAAGGGATTACTATATTTGCATAAGAATAACATTATACACAGAGATGTGAGAGCAAACAATATCCTTATCACACATGATCGTCAAGCTCTGGTAAGAAAATGTGTGTGCAATTTTTGAGTTTATTAAAAGATAAATGAGCAAATTGCATTAGCCCCTAACCTATTAGTAGTCTAGGAGCGTTTGGGATCTCTAAACTTAATTTTTGTGCATTTTTTCCTTGAACTTTTGAAAACAGGGCATTTTGACTCCTGTCATTAATAAAAGTTAATTTTGATAAATAGTTAATTAAAAAATAACTTTAAAAATTATAAAAAAACCAAAAAATTAAAAATTAAAGATAATGACCAAGGAAATTTATTGGTCATTCTCCATAATTTGTTAAGTCATTTTCTATCATTAACTGATCAAATAACTGTCAAAATTAACTTTTATTAATGGTAGGAATTGGATTATACTATTTTAAAAAAAAACGTTGCACAATAATAAATCTAGAGCCCTAATTGCACAATAAATAAATTTAGATCCCTAAATACTCTTAAACCTAATAGTTTAGAGACCAATTTTCTCAATTACCTTTTATTAAGCATAATCTAGGTATGCTTTTTTGTTTTTAATCATCACATGATGCTAATTATATTGAAAAACATAGCAAGGTATCTATCTAATCTGTAATGACTGAATCGCATCATGGTATTGGATGAGAAAACTAAATTACCTACATTTTAAATTTTCTAATGGAATTTTTAGTTGGGAGACTTTGGATTGGCAAGAAATCAACATGAAGACTCAATACATTCGACAGAGGTTATTGCAAGTTTCGGGTATTTGGCACCTGAATATGCAGAATATGGGAAAGTTTCAGCTAAGATTGATGTATATTCTTTTGGGGTGGTTCTGCTAGAGCTCATAACTGGAATGAGAGTTACAGACAAAAGACTTAGAGGGAAAAGTCTTGTCGGATGGGTAACAATTCTAATTGCCTTGTTCTTTATTTTCTGTTTTAGGATTATGCTAGCTAGTTCTTCCAAATTAGTATAATATTACAGGATATATAATTGCTTATTGGTATTTAAACTTAGGTAAAATGACAATTTGACTTTTAAACTATAGGTCTAGGACCCCTAAATATTTAAAATTGTAGCAATCTCTCTCCTATCGTTAATTTTAACTGTTAGTTAACCTTATTAGCAAGAAAAAGACCCAAAAATAACAGAAAATAAATATTATATATTATTAAAATAAATATAATAGTTTCTTGGTATTTATTGTAATTTGGGAAACTTAATCGATATTAATTTTTTTATATAGTACTTATTTATAATTTTTGGATCATTTTCTATCATTTTGGGTTCTTTTTTATAATTTTTGAGTGAGGTCTTTTTGTAATTTTTTTAGTCAACGAATGATCAAAGTTAATGACAAGATGGGAGGTTGCCATGATTTTAAATGTTTATAGGTGAAAATGCGCCAAATTAAAAATGACTTTCGGATCCCAAATACTCCTAAACCTATAGTTTTAAGGCCAAATTATCATCTTACATAACTATGTAATGATATCTTCCAATGAGAGGAAAGACTAGTTAGGATTCATCTTATTACATATCCTTACATATGTACTACTCTAGTCCTATTTATAACATATTTTCAACATGTTTTACCATAATTAAGGAAAACTTTAAAACTTATTAACTCTATTTAAAAATTTAATAATTTCTCACCTTTGTCTCTATTAAATATACATACTTTAACAATGTATTTTTTCTCTCCAATATTTAATGGAGGTCAAATAAGAAAATTTGTAATGAAAATTTAATAAGGTAACTTATAAATAAAACAAAAAAAAATTCTCTCTTACCCTACAAATAGGACTAGAGAGAGTACATATTATATATGTTTCTTAGATTTATTTAACTTCTAATTATAACAACTTATTTAAGTTTTCTTACAGGCAAGACCGCTACTAAGAAATAGGGCATATCACGAGCTAATTGATAAAAGGATCATCGACTGTTGTGATTGTCACCAACTAGTTTGGATGGTTCAGACTGCAGAAAAATGTCTAACTAGGGATCCTCGGAAAAGATTAACTATGACTGCAGTAAGTTGGCATCCCTTGGCCTTAAGTCCTTTTACTCAATATTATATATACTCCTACACAAACAAAAGATTAGAATTTATCATCGTGATAATAGAAAATTTAATTAAGCTTAATTTACTTCAAGAAATTGTTAGAAGCTGAGTTATCCTAAAATATTTGGATTAAGGGCATGTGTCTTTCTCTAATGTCTTACACAATGCCTTTCTAACTTCATTTTTTTTTAGATCATTGACTTTTACATAAAATAAGAGACATTTTGATATTGTAAAATCCTAAAACAGTAGGATTTTATTTTTTTATGATTTTTTGAAGGAAAAAAATCAAAATTTCACTCTTTTTATTCTTCAAAAATACAAAACCTTGTTGTTTTGTGAGTTCAAGATATCAAAATGTCTCTACTTTTGTAAAAAAAAAATATGATCAAAAAAGAAAAACAAAGTTTGGAATAGTCAGGGCATTACAAAAAACATTAGATAAAGGCACATTAGAACCTACAATAATTCCAAAACAGATGCATGAACCGTTAATTACCTTGAAATATCAGCCTTGTATCCATAAAAGACGATATTAGATCCATTAAACTAAGGCACTATAGCGTTAATTCATCAAAATATACCATGTTCTATCTGTTAGTCTTACACTCTTACTGCTTAGTTATTACAATGATGAATTTGGAAAGCTTCTTAGGTTTATTATATAGGGAAAATTGTATTCAAGGACCTATGAAAAATGTTATTCATAAATAAAGATTGATAAAAAATTAGCATTCAAGAAAAAACAAGTCCATGTTCTCATGTTAACAACAATTCATTCCTTATTGATCTTTTTTTGTGAATACCATTCTTCATAGGTCTGTGGATGCGATTTGCCATATTATACAAGGAAAGAGATATGCAAGGTTTAAGGTTTATTGTGTTGCTTAGTGTGTTGTGTGTGTGTCACCAAAGATCATTGATAAATAAATATATATATATATATATATATATCTCACCAAAGATCAACATATAAGACCCTTCATTGGATCCAACTATTTTTCCCCCCGAAACTTCTCATGTTATATATATTTCTGTAACTGGATATATACAAGCAACTTCCCTTATTGGCTCATTTAACTCATCGACTTTTTGAAAATTGCATACTTTGATATCAGGACATATATATTGCTACTGGCTAGATCAGACAAAAGTAGTTTACAGAATTGTAAGGCAAGCAAAATATATAGAATATCAAGCATGATTTGGTTTTCCTTATTTCTTGATATATATTAACATCAAACTATATATAAATAGCAAGACCAAGTATTGATGCTCATGATGCTATAATAGGTGCTAAATGCTTTAAGTTTTATTGTGGAATGCAACACATGTATGTCATCAAGCTCTGATGAATCAGAAGGCGACGACGAGGAAGGTTGCCTTTGAATTAGGTAACAAGTTAGAAAGTCTGAGCACAAACATAATTTTATATTATCATGATTCACTTCAAAGGCTTCTTTAATTTATTATGATTGCATGCGGGGAAACAAAAGTATCATCTATATATAAGTTTCAAACCTCTAAAACATTATTGCATGCCTGTTTAAATTATACTGTAGTTACTAGAAACTTTCGGTTTCATCATGTGGATTTAAAATTTTCAGGTGAAGTCTCGGGTGGGGAAATAGGGAAGCAAGCTGATGAGGTTTGAGGAAGTCTGATTGTAATGCCTCAAATCATCTCTTTATTTTGAATGTGTTGTGTATTATTGATAGTCTAAGAACCCCACTTCATTTCATACTTTAATTTACTGGTTTATAAATGTTATGTATTTATTTTGACTGGGAGTGCTCGTAGAAAAAGCCATGGACCTTAGGTTGTTGCATGACTGGTATTGGTTGATGAGATGAAATGGAATTATTTATGTATGAGTTGGGTTAATTGGATATCCAATGTTTATATATGATTTAGAAACTAATTTCTGAAAATCAGGTTTAAATCTTTTCTACCATGTTAAAAGTTTTTACCAGTTTCACTTTTTATTACCATCATAGTTTTGGTTTAAAACGATTTTAAAAGTTGGCTTACACCTTAGAGTTCTGTTTATCATAAGTGAGTACGATGTTTTGGGTGTTGGATTCTTCCTCCCCCTCATCCTTAGGTTGTGATGGTGTCAATTCGTGCATTGACACCATAATCTAGACCTTGAGGTCTGGTGTCATTCTTCTTATTATCTTTCGATCTTATTCATGCTGGCTAGATCTTTTATTCTTCCGGTGCCCATACTGACTCTTGAGAAGCTTATATCACTGACCTTACAAGCTTTTGGCATCTTGCTAGCTCCACGTATGCATTGATTTGTGGGTGGATCTCTAAGTATTTTGGTTCTTAGATCATTGGCTCTTGGGAAGCTCAGATCACTAGCTCTACGAGTATGCTAATATATGGGTGAATCTCTTACGCTACTAGAACCTATGTAGTTCTCTCATAATACCCAACAATTAAAATGTTCATCTTCAATATGTCAAATTTGTGGTAGTGCTATTGCTACAAATGCACATGTCGTACCGAGCTTGTCATTTTTTGTTGGCATTATTTTTTGTTAGAGGAATTTTTCCTCGAACAGCAATGAGTTCTTAGGATCCTTTTTCACAATTTTGACAAATGTAAATTCTCGAAAATAAAGAAAATGAAGAAATAGAGATGGCGCATAATACAAGAACAGCAGAACAGAAGTATGTAGACATAGTACGGTTGGTGTTCTAAAATAAATAACAAAAATTGTAAGATAGGAAAACAAAAGATAAACACTGAGGCTGTGAGATAGTTTTACCAAATGTTATTGCTACATTGGATGCTAGAAGCTGATGCTCTCTGTGAATGGTTGTTGCTCGATCAAGAGGAACTTGACAGGACTTTTAGAAGGAGGTATTTATATATTGTTTGATGTTGAAGGTGTTGAAGAAGCTCTCAAGGGGGGTCATGCTTCCATTTTTATTGGCATATAGTGACAGTTTTCTCTTGACTCAATATTTAATTTTAAGCAATTTTATCCAAATTTTTATCATTTTTTACCATTTGCCTGAAGTGGCGCATGAGTGGCTTTTCTCTTGTTAACCTCATTCCTTCTGGAAGTATAAGGTTGGGCCTAAATAAAATTAGATATTAATCCAAATAATAATTATAATTTGCTATACTGATTTTTTTTTTACCTGAAAATTCTTTATACAGGTGATTCTTATATCTCTTTCATGATTGGAATTCATGTACATTTTATGCATGAATTCCTTTTTTTTTTTTTTGGTTCTCTATGTATGAATTCTATTTACGTTAAAGAAAATATTTTGTTTAATGCCGCTATTAATGGTTTTCATACCTTTCACACATGCTCTTTCTTCTAATAAATTTGACATTTTCATTGATTCTCTTGTCTGAGAAAAATGAACTAGAATTCATTGTCCCCTTGATTCTGCATTAACAAGGTGAAGATCATTTCTGATTGTGCATATATGCTTTCTTTATTAATTATATATTACGTAACTTTGATGCATTTTGATAGCATTAATTTTTTTACTTCCAAGGGATTCATATAATTTCCTTAATAGAAATCACTAGTTGATTTTTATCCAAAAAAAAAAAGAAAAAAGAAATCACTAGTTGATCATTCGCACACCGATCATCATGTGGAATGAATAATTTATGTCAATGAAACACGTACGTGCGTATTTATCTAACAAAATCTGCAGATATCCAATCATTAAAATCATTGTTAATGCAGAAGATATGTTTCCGAAATTAGTTCATATTGATTAATTGGAGATTTTCAATGAAACACGTAAGTAGTTATCCAAACCTACACAACGTTGAATTAGGATCATGTCCTCGTTATTTTTCTCCTTCTATGTTCCTCTTACCATCCCCACCCTTGAGTTAAAAATTCAACGGT